CATCGATCGGAAGGGATATTTTTCATCGGTACCGATGCTTTCGTTGCTCTTTCTATTCTTATGAACGCGCGTACGTCGACTGGTATAAAATTAGAATACGCGACAAAAGAGATACAATAAAAATATTTTACTTACTACATAGTTTATTCTTTTTTATTTTTTATTATTTATTTAAACAATAAACTTAAAAATTTAATAAATTACAATGTATAATACCTACTCGATTGTCCAAATTTAAAATTGTCCAAACAACACTATTAATATGTCATTTCTTCTTTACGGTACTTTCAATTGCGTTTTCTGAATATTTTTTGCATCTAAAATGTGCGCAATATATCAAAACGAACGATTATTTATTATCCAGAATGAATTAATTATATTCTAATCTATTTTAGCCCATCCATTTTAAGACAATGGATCTGTAATACATTATATACTTATTTCTAATATTCCGTTTTTATCTTTATATATACATTTCTTTCCACAGATTCTTAATTTAAATTAAAAAATAAATCGCCTCTCACCACCAATACGATGCGCAGCAGTGAAATTGTAATACAAGAACGTTAAACTATAAAGTACATCAAATATATTCCAATTTAGTATAATATCCTAAAACAATTGTTATTTAAAAAATTAATTGTTACTCGCATAAATATATATAATAAATTATTTACCTCAGGTTTACTCCGCCGTCGCTTGATACCTCCCAGGCCTCCTCCTCCTGTCAGACTTTTTCGTTGTATACACGCACGCATACACACTCGCGAAAACATATATATAGTTAATTATTATTGGACGCGTACTAATAATCAGAATATTACGAATATTACGAGGTTGCAACGCTTCCGTTGTTCACTGCACGTTACACACACTTTATTACGTTACGATGGAGAAATAACGTGAACAAGACCCAATCACACAAAGTTGCGATTAGCAAGTTAACATTAAATACGAATCTTTAACGACGGAAGATTTAAATAAATCAAGATTTAAATAAACCACGTTGTACAAATATCGAATTTTTAGTGTATTATTGACGATTATTGAAGCATCAAGTGATATTATAATTGTATTAATTTTTTAAATTTATTACAATCATATATTTTAGTAAATAATTTATTACAATTTTATTACTTAAACGCGATTTGACCCAACAAGTAAAAGTCATATAAGATATCTTTATTTCGATAGATAACTATCTCGAATCATTACCGGGATAGTCAGGGATATAGTCATTTAGACCACGGGTCGGTAATCGCTAATTATTCGTGAGGGGATGAACGTCAAATATCGCGATCGCGGCTCGAGGAGAAGTGATAAGAATAAGGCCGCGACTTTTCGGCAACATGAGTAGTGGGGATGAAGTGGGGTGACTAGGCACATTCGGTGCGCGTTCGCTCTAATCACCCCCACTTTATCCCCACTACTCATGTTGCCAAGAAATCGCGGCCCCAGGATCTGATATCACTATCGAGGACGTGTAAAAAGATACGGAGCAGTTCGCGTCGCTGTCCGGCGTTCATTCAGTTCTCACTACCCGAATAATACTGCATTAATCGACGGCCTTGCATACGTATATAATTGTTTAAATACTTTCCGGCCGGGCGTCGAGCGCCAATTCTAGGAAATGTTTACAACGCGTAGGCATTATAGGCATTTCGTGGAAATACCTAGCCCGCGCGCGCGCGCGCGCGCGATAATCGGCGCGAACGAAGACAATAGATACAAAGTCGCCGCGCGCCGCACGCCCGTTATCATTCGCTCGGCGAGGCTTGCAGAGGGTAAACGGTGGCGCGTACCGCTCCGCTTATCTTCGCATTATCTTTCAAAATTCAGTCGCGAAAACTATCGAAAGATGCGTAGAATCACTTGTTATGAACAATTAGCGATGCGTAAGCTCATAAGCTCGATTGATTAATCCTCACGATTATCAACATGATTACATATTAATAGACGTTACTTAGCGGAGCGCGAATGTTTGAATTATTCATCTGACAATGAGTCGATCGGCGTCGCGACGCATGCTTAACCATACAGCAATCACGGTTATGATCAATCGTTTTAACACGATCTTTCAATCACGCAGCATTATTTCTTTTTACGTCGGCGATTTGCTGAAACCTTCCGCACCGTTAAAAATTTATTCGTTACGACTTTACGCGAGACGTCATATATACGAGAATCAAGCGGTCCGTAACATTTTACGCATTCTTTTTTTTTCTCTCGTTATTATTCCGTATCGTAATGCGATGAAGTGCGTGTTGCGTGCTATTAACACCGCGCAAAGTGCCGTGTGGTCGCCGTATTCCGGTGATTATTACGCACGCGATTGTAATTAACTATGTTTTCGCGAACTATGTTGTGTGAGTGCAATGGCTGAAGGAGGCTGAGAGGAGGAGGAGGCCTGGGAGGCATCGGGCGACGGCGGAGCAAGCTTGGGGTGAGTAACTTATCATTTATTCGTCGTTTCAGTTGCGGAATTAATCATTTATTTTCGCGAGTTATGTAAATAATTTCGCATGCTCTCCTCTATTTTGCATTGTTATAATATAATAACATGTTCATTCAAGATAACATATGTACTCACGATATTTTTGAATCTCTACGTTTTAAAAAATACTTGAAATATTTTATTAAAAAATTATTTGTTACACTTAATATTTATGCTTGTATGTTAAAATCCTTTAAACGTACTTGAGATTTAAATTGAATAGATTATTCCTGTATAAGAATTTAACATTTATATATATAAGTCACGTCTGTCTGTTTGTCTGTACGCGAACTACTCATTCGTTAGTGGGCCGAATTTTTACCAAAAGTATATGAAATAGGGGTAGAATTTTCCGGGGATGAAAATGTCGTGGCCAATTTTTTGCTACCAATTTTCTGGAAACCGATTTTTCTAATTTTTCTAATTTTTTGGGAAATAATTGACCGAATTTAAAAGAATTATATATGAAACAGGGATAGAATTTTCCGGGAAATGCTATAAAGTGTATAATTTTTCGTTACCGATCTTTTTGAAAGCCAGTTACAAAATTTTTTCAATTTTTCGGAAATTAATTGACCGAATTTTAAAGAATTATATGAAGCAGGGGTAGAATTTCCCGGGGATTGCCATACAGTGTATAATTTTTCGTTATCGATCTTTGGGGAAATTGGTATCAGAAAAATTTCCAATTTTTCGGAAATTAATTGACCGAATCTCAAACAATTCTATATGAAGTAGAGGTAGAATTTTCTGAGGAGTGCTATAAAGTGTATTATTTTTCGTTACCGATCTTTTTGGAAACCGGTTACGAAAATTTTTCCAATTTCTCGGGAAACAATTGAATCTTAAAGAATTACATATGAAATAAAGGTAGAATTTCCCCGGGATTGCTATAAAGTGTATAATTTTTCGTTACCAATTTTTTTGGGAACCGGTTACAAAATTTTTTCAATTTTTCGGGAATTAATTGACCAAATCTTAAAGAATTATTGTATATATGAAATAGGAGTCAAGTGTCAAAATTTTTTTAATTTTTGGAGGATAAGTTTAATTTTTTATTAATGGATAATTTTTCATTAAAAATTGATTTTCTTGAAACCGGTGTCCAAATTTTTCTAATTTTTTGATGATTTCGAAAAGAGAAAATAAAATGGAAGAAAATAAAAGAGAGTTAATAATGGTGGGTCAACGGAGAGTGAAAACGCGCGAGGCGCGAGCAAAAATAAAATTTAAAAACTTTAATATAAGGGATTACATTTTTGAAATATTTGACAATATGCTAATCTGCATCTATAATATTATCTATTATTTTTTATTTTTTAAAAAAGAATTCAAAGATGTAGGTTAGAGTTTGAGGAGAAAGAATATCAAAAGTGCTCTTAATTAATAATGAGTGAGTTTGCCATGGGGAGAGGGGAATAGATTTTGAGCCCGCGCGAAGCGCGGGCGAAAAATCTAGTTTATTTATAAAATTGGAAAAGATTTTTTGAAAATTACGTAATTTTAAATTAATTATAAGTATCTATTCAAAGATAGATAAAATGATACAATGCACGCAATAACCATTTTCTAGAATAATTATTAAACGCTTTTCTAACCTTGATATATATTTGTATTTCTAGTTCAACGTCATTTGAATGCCGCAGTTCAACGCAGTTACAACTCCGCTGCTGCGCAACATGTTGGTGAGTGATTATCTTAATATATTCTAAATTAAAGTAATCTGATCTGTGAAAAACCTAGATATATGTCAAATTAAAAGGGTATAATATTATATAGAGAAAAATATAACACATCACAGATTTATTGCCTTAAAATGGATGGACTAAAATAGATTTAGGATAGTATTCCATCCTGGATAATTCATAGCTGATTTATTATACCTACAGACCTCACGAAATTGAGCTCATAAATGTATCAATTAATTAGTTACTACATTTTGATTTATTTTGTGTAATAAAATATTAGCCGCGAGAAATACCAATTGTATAAAATTTAGAGAGCGCGCGCTATCTAATAAATATAATTAATTAAATTGAAAAGAAATATATTATGGATATAGTAAGTTTGATGAAAAAAAAATAATAGCAAAGATAATAGCGTAAATTCCGCATAATAAAAATTGTTTCCAAATCTGGTAACGATTATTATCATTTTTGTTATATTTCTTGCCAAAAACTCTATACACTATACATAAATAAAATTTTCAAGAAATGCAGTTTTTATTTATGTAGTAAAAAATGCGCCGATTATTTCTTTATATCTTCATTTTATATATACATATGTAATGCGCCGATTTTATTCTTATTATAGTTCATCCATTCATATTTATTTATAATAACTTTTATATCACCATTGTTTATAATATTTGAAATAAAAAGAAAAATTTAAATAAAATTACTTATATTCTGCACTTTAAAATTTTTTATATTCCGCGAAATGTTTTCATGATTCGTATTAGTGAAAATAAAGGGCGAAGTTTATTTCAAAAGACAGCTTTACTTACCGAGCCGTAAAGTACACCGCAAGAATCCATACAGAGAAAGAGACAGGTCGCCATGCTTTGCATTGTTACTTGTCCGATTGCTGTTGTTCTTCTGTGAAAGATGGCTGAAAAAGACATAGAGATGACAATATTAATTATTTAATATCAACTATGAAAAATTTTCTTTTACAAGTACACTTTTGTGACGTTATCTCGTGAGTATTTTAATATGATTATAAACTGTCGAATTCAACGATATAATAATCGGGCGAGCGAGAAACAGGTTTTTCAAATGTTTTAATCTGTGGCCAGTCCTGTCGTTTACTGAAACCTTTTTGTTCCCTAATGATACAATCTTGGGCGCGATGAATACGTATTTTCAACCGACTTCGTAATTCATGACACTTATCTCGAGCGTCAATGTTCATGGAGAAGCCACTCGTGTGTCCGGCGGCTTTGACGAATGAAGTCATAACGCAAAGTTGTAATTCACGACGCTGCGGAAACATGCAACGACGACGAATCGGCATTTAAACTATCGATAAAGCTTGTCGTCGATCGAGAAGTTACGCGACGCGAGAGCGGTACTAAAGCCTGTCTTTAGCGTCCATTTGGCGCGACATCGCGTACGGCGTACGATCTTATTGCAAACGGATATATCTCGCGTAATGTCCCTAAAAAGACACGACCGGTAAATGAGATGCGTTATCGGGAATAATGATCGATTTTTTTTTATCCATTTCAAATTTCTTCCCTGGGAGAAATGCGGAGCGTGTTGGAGCTTGATGGACTCGGCCCGTAGCTCCGGTACACGCGCTTAGTGTAATCATCATTAATGTCTCAAAGCTTCTCTATAGATACATAGTAACGCGTAGGGCGCGTATTAAAGACGTGCGTGACACGATCCGGCGATCGTAAAACGAACGCGATCACGCGCGCACCTGAATGCAGGTCCGGTAAATGAAATGAGTTATCAGAAACGAGCGGTCGATATTTTCTCCCTTTTTTTTATCCTTTTGGTTCCGGGGTTTATCTCCCCGGAGAAAAGCTCGCAGGAGCGTTCGGCTCCTCTTAAAGGCTGACCGCACCGCCTCATTTCGCGTACTGACTCCCGTACTGACTACGTGATTGCACGGTGTAATCATTTTAATTTCTCAATAGTTCCCGGAGTACGCCAGCACGTACGCCAGCGCGCGTAGTATTAAAGACGTGCGTGACAATCTCGCATCACAAAACGAACGCGATCGCGTATCTCTCTCTCTCTCTCTCTCTCTCTCTCTCTCTCTCTCTCTCTCTCCGGCCGAACACGAACGCGCGGCGCGAGCGCTAAACACAGAGTGTTCAACGCGGTAATTCATTGCTTGCTCTTTTAATCTCTTTCGCGGTATTTGCGAAATAATAAGACGAGTGCGCGGCGCGGTTCGTGTACTCACGAACCAAAAAAGCCGTGTAATTAAGGCAACGCCAGAGTACGCGAATGAAGTCGTAAGTTTCACACGTTCGATCGGAGTTGTCGCGAGTTACATGCTGCCAGCACGTTGTCGTTCGCAACGAGCTTTACTCTCGATCGCAGAAAAGCGTGAATTTATAATAAGCTCAACTCTCGTCGAGGGAAAAATATTAACAGACGTACTCTCAAGATGTACACAAAGCAGGTTTGCGTTAATGAACGCATAAATCGTTCGTTAATCGTTCTTATAAGTTGCTACACATATATGTAGAAAATAAATGCATTAAAATTAAGCATCGATATTGATAAAATGTTGATTAATTTTTATGAAGACGATACGTATCATATCCTATCTAATATAATTAAAAAATATAAAAATTAACGGTAGATATTAAACATATAAAGAAATGGAAAATTTTACTTCACGATATTTTTCCATTGCTACGCGCGTACCTATATGGCATCCTTTGATAAAAATCATATTTTAGCTTCTAAAATCATATTTTTGACGGAGTTTATAAATTTTTTTATTTATTTCGATTTTAATCCGTGTTACACAATAATTTGGAAAACAATATTACTACAATTCTTAAATTAATTTGTAAAAAATTTGAATCAATTTAGATATGCTCAAGCCAGAGTTGACACAGTTGATTGACACAGTACGTGTTAAAAGAATGACCTTATTAGGTTAAAAAAATTAATTATAAAAAAGTTTAATTATATACATTTCCATTATTTTTCGTATATACGTATATACAATAATCTAGTTACATTTTCTTATCAATGTCTATTTTATAGTATTTAGCTCTTGGCAGTTTAAAAATTAACGTTTAAAATTAACTTTAATTGATAAGAAATCGTGCAGGTTAATTTTATGGCTGCGATTGACCGGACTCTGGCTTGAGAGTGTCTCCACCATATTTATTTCTCCTCCAACGTGTTGCTGTCATCGCGATTAAACACGCCGTTGCATCGCGAAGATGCATCGACCTGCTAGCCACATCATTTACTCCAACGATTTGTGCGCGAAGACGTAAATATCTCACGCACATCTGCATTTTTGTACGGAAGGCCTTACGCATTTCTACGATAATTATCACCGTTTAATACCTAACGCTGAATGCACAGCAGATATCAATGATCCATCCAGGCATAGTTGTCTTTGAATTTGCCAAAAAAAAATAGATAAATAATTATTTCTTAACTTGGAAATTTTTGTAGTTAATTTTTGTTCATGCAAACGTCACGATCTTACGTAACACGATGATACTAAAAGTTAACAATTGTTAAGCGATAAGAATGATTAAAAATAAATATTTTTCGCGAATTAAATTTTCGATGCAGCAAATATCAATAAAATATTATTTATTGTGTTTGAACAATTTTAATTGAATTTTAGTTAAAATCTCATCAAAAAGCTGAAAAAAACCGCTCGTCAATCGACGCTCAAAAATAAGATCGAGATCAATGTTTAGATAATTGTATGAAAAATAAAATATCTGTCAGCAAACTTATAATTTTCATAGAATTTAACTTTCTTTCTCTCTCAATTTCTTTCTCTTGTTGTCTCTGCTACTGCGTTTGGATGCAGCCAGATACGTTTCTTGGACTGTTACGATTTATTGATTTATTCGGTTCTGAGTACGAGGTTTCGGCTTACGATTTCAAATTAGCAGTCATAAAACTAGAATCGCGTAACTGCAAAGAATTCGATTTAGATTTCTACATATTTATCAGCGTTAATTAGAAATATTTATCAGCATTAATTAGAAATGTCTCTCTTTACGATCGGAAATGCATCGATTAAGCGTAATTCGCCACCTTGGAAAATCAATAATTATAATAGCTCGCGCGACTGTGTTATTATGAGCATGTGATCAGTATCCGCGGATAAGACATTCGAGGCGAGTACAAGACGTACGGTTTTTTTAAAGAAAAGATGCATACACGATCGTTTACCTGCTATAAACAGTACAAGAGCGCAAGTGCGTGATGTTAATGAACGTCTTAAAAGGTTTAATGCAACCAGAATAAGGAGTTTCGCGGAGAAAGCAATATCGTAAAGTAACAATAATGCCCATACCGCTATGATTCTTAATCGCTAATCATTGAGTGATTAATGAGGTAAAATTATCGGGTATTAAATGATAACGGTTATGACAAAATGATATAACCAGTATTTTTTTTATTCTCTAACGACATTTTTGAGGGATCGACGTACAAGCTTAATTAACGTTAACGCGATTAATCAAAAGGATATAAATTCAAAATGTTTTCTGGGGTAGACCAAGATTGCGTGCCGCATCATAATGTTATGGTTTCACTTAGCATGTCGAAGGGATTATTAAAGGGATTGTAGCAATAGGAGCACGCGATTACAAAATATTGAACTCGTATTTTATAAGGAAAATAATAAGAAAATGGTACAAGATATAGTACAAGTAGTTAATAACAAGGTAGCATAATTAAAACGTTAAAACTCTCGTGCTCTATCTCGAAGTATATGCTTCTTTTTGCGATTGTGGCACGTAACACATAATAATAATAATTGATTAAAACGTAATTATATTTTAATTTAATTCAATTTTGCACTCTGAAAGAAAACCACAATTGACGTTAATATATTACTATGACATTATTACCTTTCGTTTGAGATTATAGTGAATATTGGTTAAATTCTGTGTTCATTATTTCACTGTTAATTATTTTATAATCTTTGTTTTTTTATATATTTAATAATATATACATGTCTTTACAAATATTTTTATTATTTTATTATTTTAACGATAAAGTATATTATTTCTCGTTAACCATTCGACTATTATATATTTAAAAAGGCTATAAAACTCGTTGCTAAACGAGCGTGATTTGTTATTCGACTGTAGAGGGCTAAAATATGTTAATGCATGCTATACAAGAGAAGTAAAGAAATGATAAAGATGATAGAGACGGCCAGAGTTATTTGGCGTGGTAACGCAGGTTGCGGTGTCGCACACTAACATCGATTTTCCGATTGCGCTCTACCTACACGCATTTATACTTTCCATTTTTACGAGCCTGCAGATCTTGCGCGCTATATTACAGTTGAGCAAAGATTAATTACACCGGAACGCGTGCATTGGATTTACGACGTCATTGCGATACGAACCGAGCGCGACATAGTGCGATTCGCCTCGACAATAAGCTTCATACATCGACAGGCTGATACCGATGGTCTTATCTAAGCGTGTAATTTAATCGAATTGCCGCGTAGAAAAGAAAAATTCACAAGTCTGCATACAGTAACGTTTCCGTGAAACGTGCTATTGCAAGCATTAGAAACGTCTACGAGACATTCGAAGAGAATTAGTCGATTTATACCAGTCGCTAGAATCCATCGACTCTATTGGCATCAACGCGATATCATAACGCTCTTTGCAAAAAGGCGCCGTAAATGAATAATACTTAGAAATCGGCCACTCGCGTTTTACCCCTTTCAAGAGTCGATAAAGGCTGAAAGGACATTTGAACTACTGATCGAGCAATGACACTTTTTATATTTAAAAAAAAAAAAAGAAACATTGTAAAAATATCTTATGCAAAATCTAATTTTGTATAAATATTATTTTTTGACAACAATAATCAGTGAAGGAAAAAAATCTAAATAATGTGCTTGAAATGATCATT